TTAGAGCATTTTCCCCCTTACTTTCTGGAATTACTTTGAATTTGTGGGAAGTAGAATCACGGTGCAATGCTGCAGCACGAATAAACAGCAGTGCTGGTAGAAAAGCATTCTGCTTGTCCTGGCACAAGTACCAATGCTGATGCAGTAAGCAAAACTAAGAAATCACTTTAGTTTTCATACAGATCGTCTACTACAGAGCTAGAAAAATGCTTGCTCCAGCATAAGAGAGGGACAGGAGTAAGTGAGGGTAGAGAAAGGCAGGGTGACTCAGCAGCACAGCTGCAGGTACCAGGTTAAAGTGACAATGCAAGTAAAGCTTTCTTTATAGGTTCAGGGCTCCTTACATGGCTCATGAGAAGCCATGGAGAAAGAAGAATGAGATGTCACTGAACTCCAGCTCTTGCACATTTTTCGTCTGGACAGACCTGAGACCATAGCCATGGTTCCAGGTGCTCCCTTTCTTTCACCAGACAGGACTATGCTGCACATGGAGATGGCAGGAAGAAGCTTCCAGTGACTCTGCTCAAAGCCTGTTCAGTAGTGCAGAGGATCTTCCAGCTGGAGGTTGAAATGCTCCAGAAATGGATGCAGAACTGTAAAGCATGCGAGTGATTCCTGTGCTTCCCTGTGCATTTGCTTGCCTAGCAAGGAAGGTCTGTGAAAAATAATAATTCTAAAAGTCATCTTGGAAGGGAGCAGATTGTTGGGTTGTACCCACTTTAGATATTTTTAGCTGTTTAGGTACAAGAAAAATGTGTCTTAGTAAATTTCAGTCCTCAATATTTTTCAGTATCTAAGAGAAACATCATGGGGAAAAAAATCACCTTTTGCTGGCACTGATCACTTGACTGATAAAAATGTTTTCTTTGAAATTCATGTAATTAAAAGGTCTGATATCTTTGAGACCCTGCAGATAATATTTGCTGTTTACTGGGGACTGAGCTGCAATTGTTGCAGATCCAAGGCTTATCCGTCTCCTTAAGGAATATTACTCTGTTGGAAATGTTCAGGTAACGCAGAAAGAACCAGCCTCGCTTTCCAAGGCATGAGCTCTTGTCCTCACAGCAGACAACAGGAATCTGCCTGACATGGCAAGGAGTGCTTTGAGAGCATTTCTTGCCATCTTTCAAGAGAGGACAGGGTAAGTTGGAGTCTTTCAGCTTTAGTCCAACTAGAAGTGAAACTATGTGTGCTTAATCCTGTCACACAGCAGGCTCTTTAACTGTTCATGCTGAGCTCTCCAGCCAGTTTTAGAAGTAACCGGTTTACTTCAAAAGTTTCTATGAACTTTCACCCATATTGAACACTTATTAGGGGTAATTTCCAGAGGAAAATGTCATTCTAAATAATTTAATACTACCCTTGCACCCACATAATGCATTTATGCAAAAATAATGTTCTGCAGACACTGCTCTTCAGTCTTCAGGCCTTAATTTAAATGTGGTTTTGAAAGTCACTTTCTTGGTCTCCATTTGTATTCTGATGATTACAGTTAGACCTGAGGTGGATGGGAACAGGAGGTGACCAGTCCTCATAGAGCACACTCATTCCTTTAGGAAAAAAAAAAAAGTAGCTATAGAGTGCATGCCTGCCAGCTGCCTACCAGCACTTGTGATGCCAACAGCCCCTGTGAACTGAGTTAATTCCGTAATTTGCTTCTTCTATCATTTTGCCAGTGTTTCTGTCTGAATATTGGAAAACGCGATCACTGAGAAAATGCAGGAGGTAGCAGGCACAAGTTATAAGATGGAACTCAATGTACTTTGTAACCTCTGTGGGCAGCAGAGCCTGTGCTGTGCGTGTGGAAGCATGCCCAATGCAAACACTGGACACACTTCAAAAAACTCCTCGGGAAGGTCTTGATTTGCCAAGGGACAGAGCAGGTAATTACGCCAGTAATTGCTGTTACAGGAATTCAGTGTACAAGTCAGAGCTGTTCTGCATTTGGAATCTGAGTAGCAGCGTGTTTGTGGGTTTGCATGTACTGTATTATCATAAAAATACTCGATTGTTGAGTTACATTTACTGCATGAAATTCATCATGGTTTTTCTCTGTCACAAAAAAAGATAGACAGGTTCTGTTTTTGCAGCCTCCCTCAACCTCTGTTCCTGATCTCACTGCAAACACATACTCTATTGGTGTTTGCACTTCTCCCTTTTGATATTCTTTCTTTCAAAACCTAGGCCATACCTGACATGTTGCACTCATTGCACTTGTTTATTGTTAACTTATTTACAATAAATTAATGTGATTTATTATCTGAACTGAGCCAAAAGCCATATTTGAGCTGAAGGAGTATCTGCTGAAGTGAGATGCAAAGCAAGCCTGGAATAGAGCTGGTGCATGGTGTATGTCACTTGTCCCAGAGTTTTCTAAGTTCCACTGTAGTTCACAGCACAACTTGCAAACACTAGAAATTAAGAAGCTGGACTAGGGCCAGGGAGTGCACAGGCAAAGCCCTCATCCCTAAAGCTGCCGCTGCTACAGAATGCTGCACTGTGAAACCACAACCTGACCATCACACTTAGACTCTTGGAGGGGGGAGAGAATGTTAGCAAAGGGGTGCTTAGTGAGTATGCGAAGCTGTTCAGCCCTAAACATACAAACAATAGGAATTCAAAGAGTGCAAAATGCACTGATCAGACAATCACAGCTAAACTTGTGTTCTTCCTCTGCCCCAGAGCAGGAAGCGTTTATGCTTCATCTGGGCAGGAGAAATGCAATGACAGCCTTACTGCCATCAAGATTCTCACATCTCTGCTTAACCTGGCACCGTTCGCGTAGCGGGGTCCCAGTCAGCGATATCACCAAGTCCTAGAGCATAGAGAAATGACGAAGTTCCCTGAAAGCTCTGTACTTGCCTGTATTTCAAGCTTCCTGGTCAAGATAGAACAAAGAATTTACATGATCCTGATGGAATAAGGATTATTAGCTAACTCTTTCCAAAGAACCAACAGAACAAAGGAAAGTTGTTGTTTTTTCTACAAGTTCTACCCACCCATGCCCAAGAAGGGTGAGCTCTGTGTCCCTGCCACTACACAGGCTGAGCAAGTGTGGAGCGTATCCTAAGGTGGGCCAACTCCATTGCAAGTAGAGGCAGTACATAAAGCAGCTGAAGGGGGAATCAGAAACCCTGCAGCTGTGAGCTCTTGTAAGTGAGTAGAGTGAACAAGTGCATAACAATGGGAACAAGACAAATAGAAAAGGGTCCAAAAGGTGAGCAGGGTAAGGGAAAAGACTTAATCAAGAGAAGCGGGCCATCAAGGAGACAGTAAACCCAGAAACTCTCACGAATTAAAGAATACTGATGCTCACCACTCTGAGCATGTGGAAGGGTATGAATGTGTTTTCTGAAAACACAATTAGGTTTCAGCAGCATGAAAAGCATAGTGCCCAAATATAACGTGCAAGGAATGAAAACTGTAAGGATACGGAAGTTGGAAGCATGACTACCACTAACTTCACCCACGTTTCTAAATCCACTTGTACCCCTTGAAGGTAACCCTTATCTCAGTTCTTTCAGACCTCTGTTTCAGTGAATTTGGCTCATCCTAAATTTTGCAAGTGCAAAGATGACAGCACAGCTCCAGATCTACGCAAGGGAGGGTCCTGCAATCCATGTGTCTCAAAAAGATTTATGTATTTTAAAACAAGCAAGACAAGGCATACAGTGATCTATGCTGGGCAGGACTATCCCTCTGCACTGCTTGGAGAGCCTTAAACAGTATGACTGCTCACAAAGGTAGGATCTCCACATGCTACTCTCTTCCTGGAGGCCCAACCCTTCATCCGTGTGGCAGCATTGCACCAATCCCTGCAGCATGGTGCTCTATAGCTCTGGTGAAGGGGGAATCTGTACTGCAATGAGCGTTTTAGAGAGGCTGGACATGGAGAAGGAGCATGCATAATGATCTTGACCGCAGCCATCACTGACAAAGTACATAAACTCCCTGTTTTCTCATGAAATAACTATTTGTTTGTCATGTACCGATCCACTCAAGGACATCGTATGTGCTGGTTCACAGGTTACCAGTACTTGGTTTTATGATCCTATAATCTAGATGACTATAATGATGATCCTATAATCCAGATCATGGAGTGAGTCCAGAAGAGGCCAAAAAGATGCTCCAAGGGCTGGAGCACCTCTCCTACAGAAACAGGCAGAGAAAGCTGGGCTTGTTCAGCCTGGAGAAAAGACGCCAGGGAGACCCTAGAGCAGCTTCCAGTGCCTGAAGGGGCTGACAAGAAAGCTGGAGAGGGGGCTTTTTACAGGGGCAGATAGTGATAGGCTAAAGGGGAATGTTTTTTAACTGACGGGGGGAAATTTTGATTAGACATTAGGAAAAACTTTACTGTGAAGGTGGTGAGGCCCTGGCACAGGTTGCCCAGAGAAGCTGTGGCTGCCCCATCCCTGGCAGTGCTCAAGGACAGGTTGGAGGGGGCTTGGAGCAACCTGGTCTAGCAGGTGCCCCTACTTGTGGTAAGGGGGTTGGAGCTGGTGATCTTTAATGTCTCTTACAACACAAACCATTCTATGACACTTATAATCAGCATATTCCCCAAACCCCAGGTATATCCTTAAAGCTACCTGCTTCTTCAGAAGCCTTTTGTTTTTGTGTATAAATAACTCATTGTTTTACTTTAGTTCCCTGCCCTCTTACCCAGTTGGATAAATGGTTGAGAATCAGGGAGAATGTGGCAGCCCATCTCCCTTAACATCATCAAGCTGTTGGGTTGGTTTATTTGTATCAGTGAGTTGTACCCTGGCATATTTTCATGTTAGGTACCAGTGTAGCCCCCAAAAGGACAAGATGCATGTAAAACCCCAACGTATTTCTAAGAAATGTTCACTTTTCAAGAAAATGTGAAATGGGTATCCCCAAAAGTGTGTTCAAAATAAGTAGCAGAAGGGGGAGGGGGAGGAATGCATGTTTCCCGATTTTCTCCTCTTTCTCCCTGAACTTCTGCATCCATTAAGTGTTTAAGTCACTATTATCACCTGCAGCACTCACTTTTTTCCAGGTGGAAAACTCACCACCGCTTGGATCTCAGTTAACGATATTTTTCCACTCGCAGAAACTCCCTTCACTTTACGTGCAACTGCCAATACTTTAGAGATGCTCAAAACCGGCGCTTCCCCAGACGTTTGTCTGCGTGATTGGGAACGCTCTCAGGGCGCCCTGAAGGGAACGCTCCGAAGAATCACCGACATGATTTTAAACAAGAGCCGCGTTCTGACGGAGAGACCCTCTTAGGGACGGGCGGCCCGGCGCCGGTGGCCTTGGAGCCTCCGGGTCTACGGAGTGTCAGCGCGGCCGGCTGCGTGCCGCCCTGACAGGGAAGCCGGCAGCTGCCAACGGCCAGCAGCGCTCTGGGCCATCAAGGGACAGCGGTTCGGGTTCTCCATGTGGCCGGGAAGCGGCGCCGGTGATGGCGGGTAAGGGTAACGCGCTCCCCTCAGGGGCGCGGCGGCCGTTGGAGCCCGCAGCGCGGGACACACCAGCCACCCCTGCGGCGGCCGCGCACGCGCACACCTTCCCCACACCCTCCCGCCCAAGCTTCAATTCCCCCGCTCGCTTTGAACGCCGTCTGTTAACCGCAGGCCGGCCGCCCTCCGCCAATCACCGCCCGCTCTGCCGCCACGCCACCCAATCGGCTTGCGCGGGGGGCGGGCCGGGGGAAGGCATGACGCAGGGAGATTTTCCCCTCGCGGCGCCTGGCGCCGGCTCTCGGCGGCGGCGAGGTCGCCGCTCCGGCCTGTGACGCGTGACGCACAGGTACGTGAGGGGCTGGCGAGCCCGGCGGTCACGTGGGGCGGGCGCCGCCGCTGCTGCCAGGCGCCGCGGGTCCCGTGCGGTCGGGCCGCCGCTCCGCCGCCCCTCCCCCTCCGCCCCCCGCCGCATGTCGCTGGCGGCGCGCCCCGTTCCCCGTCAGCTGCCCGCCGACACCGACACCGCCGCCGCCGCAGCCGCCGCCCTTGATGTGGTTCGGGGCTGGGCGGGGAGAAGATGCCGCCGTCCAAGTCCCGCAAGATCGCGATCCTGGGCTACCGGAGCGTGGGTGAGTGTGGGGCGCGCCGCGAGGAGCGACGGGGAGGAGGGGTGTGCGGGGTGGGGGGCCGTTGGGGCGCTCCGTCCCGTCCCGGGCTGTGCGGCGCCCCGCTGCCCGGCCCCGCCGCATCGCCCTCCCTCGCGGCAGCAGGTGCAGCAGCAGCGGCGGCGGGGAGGAGAGGGAGGGGAGGGCCGCTTCCCGCCGCCGGGAGCGCGCAGCCGCGGCGGGCGGGCGGGCCCCGCCATGGCGGCGCCGCAGAGCGCTGCGGGCCCGGGGCTGCGGGCGCGGGGCCCTTAATAGGAAGTTTCGCCCTCCGGGCAGGGCCTTCCCTCAGCGCGGTGCGGCGCGGCCTCGGAGAACTGGGCAGAGGAGAAGGGTCCCGGCTCCCCTGATGGCTGTTGGTGTGCTGGCAACCCCCCCCCCCCCAGAGGGGTCAGCCTCCCCCCGCACCCGGGTGCTGCCGTTCCCGGCGGACGAGGGGACGCGCCGAGCGCTGTCGGCACGGGCGGTTGTCAGCTCCTGGGCCTGGTAAGGGAGGAGGGGCGGACCGGCAGCGTTTTGGCCCTGCTGCCTCGAGGGAGCCGTGGTCGACCCCCCTCTAGACGCGCCCTAGGCAGCATTTAGAGCCAGTTTTGACCACCAAGGGGAAGCTGGGTTGACCTGTTGCCCGTTTCTGGCCATTTTTGCCTCCGTAGAGGCGTATCATGCCCGCACCGGCGCATAGCGGAGCCGGCTGTGGGGCTGGGCGCACTCCCGGGGCCGGGGGGCCGCGTTGACCACCGGTGTCCTCAGCACGGGACGATGCTGCTCTTGCGCAGCGCCGCTGGTACAACCCAGCGCGGGCTGAGCCGAGTGGAGGAACCTCCTGGAAGCGTCCAGCAGAAGTCTATAGCAGCTGACAGGGGGTATGTGCCATAACTGCCCGCACCTGTAATCGTTTCCTCCCGTATTCACTGCCTTTGATGGAAAACAGTTTCATTTTTTTGAACGTTCAGGTTCTTAGGGCAGAGGGGAATAAGACGTAGCGCAGCAATCCTAATCGATTAGACTTAAAAGCTTAGATCAATGCTGAAGATAATGTGTGGTCGGAAGAAAAAGAAGATGCTACAGAGAGATATGCTGCTATAAAAGGTCTTTTTACATTAAAGTAGTGGCTAAATCAGTAATTATTTTTCATTATGCACTCAGAGAAAAGAACCCTTTAAAAATACCTTTTTAAGATTACAAAAAAAAAGTTAAATAAGCTGAGCTGTTTCTTGGAGTTTGTATGTAACTGCAGCCTGACTTTGAGACGGGGCAGCGTAAATAGGATGATGAATTTGTCTACTCCTTAAAAGGAGCAGTGAGTAGTAGATTGATTAGCATGCAAAGTATATTTGACATTACTTATTGCAGTGTGTTTCATTGTCTGTCTTGTGTGTTATGTTTTCTTCTCTGTTTTTGCTTTTCGAGCACTGCTGAAAACAAGCAATGGGCAGTGTAAGTGGGATGGAAGAATGCTTGAAATTCTGTTATTTAGATGTCTGTGCTGGGGCCTGGGTGCACTGTTGAGCTTTAGTCTTTTAACTGTTGACAAGCAGTAGTCAAGAAATCTGTAGGGTAGGTACTCAGTTGAGGAAAAGCAGAAGTGTAGTATTATTAATGTGGTGGTGTTTTGAGCAATACTAATACAGAAAGGAGAGGCAAAAAAATACCTGATGTCTATTAAAACTTACTGCTGAAGTATTTAAGCTAGTTTTCTGAGACTAGTATGGTATTAGGATTAATGGGGCAAAATCGGTTCTATTAGGACAGCTACAAGTTATGTGAATGTAGAATTAAGGGGGGGGGGAACCTGCTTTCATGTGTTTTCCTTTCATTGTCCTGTGTTACATTGATGTGTTACACCTTAGGTAAAAATTTTGCATTTTAAAACTGCAGTGTTACTCTTGTCAAATACGGAAGCATGACATTTATAGGCTTACATGACTTATGTAAAAGTTTAAGCAGTAGAAACAGGCCATTGGGGACTTACTTCCATCTTGTAAAGTTGTTAGAAAAACAAGAAAGTGAAACTATGAGATACAGACTGGGTCCTGTGCTTGTCCAGGTATGCCTCCTAAAGTTCAGGAGGATAGCCACTTAATTTAGATTCAGAGAAGCTTTTGAGTAAGTCTTGCTTTGTATTATGGTGTCAAGAATATTGCTTGAACCCTGACTAAGAAAGGATCTAGTCTCTTCTTAGGACAACCAGCTTTTGGGTGGTAGAAAATGAAGGGAGTTTCTTCTGGGGAAAATGCAACATCTGAATAGAGCTGATGTTTGTTAAGGTGAGGAGTAATTCCAAAATCTGAAGGACTGGAAGGAAATGTTTCATCAGTTTTCTTTTATAATTAGGGAGCTACCTTGCTTTGCCGGTAATATTAATCTTGACCCTGGAATGAGGGTGGCTAACTGCTGAGCTGTAAAATGTTTATAGTTTTATAAGGTTAGCATAAATCCTTGGGTGACCTGATCTGTGAGGCTGCATGCTTTCCTTGTGGATTGTATGGCGCTTGAGACAAAGCTAATCAGAAAATTGTGAGCTTTTTTTTTCCTGTGTCTCTTTCAATTACATGTTGAAATAGCCAGGTTTTGATGACATATTTCAAGCACTGATCTGTTCCCTGTAGTTAGTGATTCAACAGTTTTGCAGATCTTTCAGTTTATGAGCGTGTATAGTAATAGCCATGCTTGACTGTGAATCTGAATCTTGTACTGGCTTCATGCTAAGCCTTTGTTTCTTTTTATTAAATTTTATTTCAATACATAAATGTAATGTATTATATAATTTAATTAAATTTTATTCTTTCCCCAGTGCTGTTGTCAGATAGACAAGAGGTTGGGAGTGGTATTCTGATACAGTAGTTCTCGGAATAGAAAGTTCAGGAGTCTACTTGTTTGAAAACACTCCCTCTGTCTTTCAACACTACCATCAACCCTTTCATATGTGAAACTAATATTCTTTGCTGATGGGAGAGATCACAGTGGGAGCCTATGAATTCCCAGGCAGATGTACTTTCAAAGATGCAGACAGAATATTTGCCAGAAACTTCAGGACTTTTTTTTTGGTGAGGAAGGCCAATTATATGTGGATATAGAATGCAGGTTGTGGCATGATACTCGACAAAATCACACAAGAATGTCTCCTTTGGTTTTTGCTCAGGCTTAAATTAGTCTAAAAAAGTTAAATTCCATTATGTAAGTGTGCCTCTCTCAGTGAGGTTCAGAGTAGAAATCAGATGGATTTCATCCCAAAATCCGCTAGTTTCACAATGGGAGGAACTTGACTTTGATTACTGTTACTTGGTATGTGACCAGAGGAGACCAGCTACTTGTGATTTGATTCTGGAAAAAATCTGTCTTACATGTGATGATGCATAAAATTTTTAAAAGTTCCTGCCTTCACTGAGAAGAATCTTTGTATTTTTATTTTGGTCATACTATGTCCGATATCATTGGAAATAATGGATTTGCATGAAAATAAATCAAGCAGGACTTAAGATTTTCTGACTCTTCTCAGAGTAACAGCTGCTCTAAAAAGCAGCGTATGGTTGTCTGAAATGCTTTGTGTTCTGTTTTGTTTATAGAAGAAATATAAATTCAGACCACAAATGCCTATATGAAAGAGGAGGTTTCTTAGATCATCTCACGAAGTAGCTTATTACTGGGATTCTCTGTATTACACTGAACTGATGGATTTAAGATAAGCAAGGAGGTGTTGTCTGGATTAGCTGCTTCAGTTGTAGGTTACTATCTCAGCCCGATTTGGCTTTTGCTGTTAATATAACTCATGCTTACAGGTGTACTTCCAGAAATGGGAATTCTGTTTCCAAATTTTACACGTTTGGACTGTTGATCTGAAAATGCTCTCCTGGCCAGTTTATAGTTCTGAGGGGAAAAGCCAGTTACGTTAGTGGTGACATACCTGTTTTCTTTCACAGCTAAATAAATTGACTTTTTTTGTGTAGGTGGGGAGAAGTCCATGCTGCAGGCAGAAGTAGTCACAATCTGGGACTGCAGCATGCAGGTAGCAGAAGAACTATGATGGAACAAAATTATTTGTCAAGGTTAGATTTATAGGCAGCGGCTTCCAGGTGCCTCTGTTAAGCTAAAGTAAAAAACACTTCTCCCCCTTCCACCTTGCTTGAAGGCAAGAAAGGCAGAAAAAGCAGTACCATTAGTATGTACCTGTAAGTGGTAAGAATAATGGTTGGGATAAAATGTATGTACCGTTTTAAAAACGTGAGTTATTTGA